AAAAATATGCATTATTTATGAAGGATGCAAAATAGGTCATTTTTGAATTTTTAGGTAAAATACGTGGACTATAGCCCATGGGCTTGATCGATTTTGGCCCATTTTCACGCCTTTTGCAAAATTATGCATTATTTATGAAGGATGCAAAATAGGTCATTTTTGAATTTTTAGGTAAAATACGTTGACTATAGCTCATGGTTATGATCGATTTTGGCCCATTTTCACGCCTTTTGCAAAAATATGCATTATTTATGAAGGATGCAAAATAGGTCATTTTGAGGCATTTTCTGGCAAAAAGCGTGTGAGAAGAAAGGCATGAATAAAGATATCTTCTCTTTTATTGTATTATTTTTACACAGCTGTTGCCTGACACATGACATGTGTTATGATGATATTATTGCAAGTCGAATTTGTGGATATTTCAGCTGGCAAGTTTATGTTCGTTCGTACAAATATTCTGGCTGCAATCAATGTGGTAAGCATAACACAATACGTCGATATATGCAGGACGTTGTTAATTTTTTTTTCGTGAATGCGTTGCGTCTCATTCAGGGGCGTAGCGAGGACCTAGGAGCTGGGGGGCATTGATCCAAAATAAAAAAAAATTACTCCTCTCCAATAAAACAAATAAACACTCAAACAAAAATTTAAGAAACAAACATTATTTTATTAACCATTTATAGATCTTGGGTTGTAATAATTTATTTTCCTCTTTCGTTTCGGTTTAATATGTTTTTTTTGTTGTTATTCTTTTTTCAAATTTTTTCTCGCTACGCTACTGGTCTTATTGTTTTGGCTGAGGGTTTGATCTACGAACTTACCTTCATATGTGTTGGAATTATTTCTTGTTTGTTCTCTCCTAATAACATATTCCCTCCCTCCCCTCCCCCCCTTCCCCCTCACCCACAACCCCTACCCCCCAATTCTTGTGTTTTCCTCCACAAATTCCAATTGCTAAATTCCAATTCAATCATCATGAAATGAATCCTAATGTTTGTCTCCCACTGTGTTTAAGTGCTACCCTTGAGCCTGAATATTTTTTTTCTCATAATACATCCCATCTCAAAGTGTATGTGCGCTGCATGTAATTCAATGCTATACCTTTTCCCAGACAATTGCAATCAAACTAGTCTATTACGACCAAGAACACTCGTCCAATCAGACGCGATTTAGCTCAATATCTGATGACGTTCTTTACCGGTGTTTCTCACAAGGCGCATTAACCAATCAAAGCGCGTGTAGCAAATAATTAAACAGTGGTCATATTTCATTAAGAAGACCATTAGTGGACGGCTTAGTTATTTGTCCAAAATCAAGTGTTAAGGAAAAGACATTTGCATAATTGTGAAGACGCTTTAGATTGAAAACAGAGTGACGTAGTAATTTATTAAAGAAAGCCTTCAGTGAATGAATGAAAGAACGAACAATGAAGGAATGGATGGATGGATGGATGGATGGATGGATGGATTGTTGGATGTATGGATGGATAAACAAATGAATTTCAAAAAAAATAATAATAACGAAAGAAATCTTTAAATTATTTAATTTTATTACAGTTTTCTTGCACTTTTCCATGTTTGTTTTCTTTTCGATATCTCATCCACAGATCCTTTGTCGAGCTATCCTGCAGACGATCAATACGCTGTGTGTAGGACCAAGTTATGTGAATGTGACAGCAAGGCCGCCATTTGCTTCAACAACTCAAAATTCAACCCGCAACATGTAAACTATAATCAAACAATGTGCGTGTAAAAAATACAACAATTAAATACACCAGCTTCCTGCTTTTACCTCAGGTGTGTTGTCCTGTTCTTTCTTTCCCATCTCGAGGAATTACGAAAACATACTAACAAATAAAGCTGAAGACACCTGGCATTTGATATCAGTGATTACCTTACGATCTAGGGATATCAGTATTCATGTTTATATATATTGGTTTAGCTCATGTCTGCATTTGCAGTCTTTGAGTGATCCTCAGATCATATCTTATATTTTCTTAGCTATCCCTTTTCTTTCATTACTTCCCGATTACTTAAACTGGATGATTAACAATAAGACACGAGAACAGATATGCAATAGAATTGGAATGAATGTTATATAATAAATGTTCACTTTATTGCTCCAGGCAGTTTTAAAAGCCTATTACGTACCGTACAAAAGGTAATCCATTTGGAGAACTTGCCGTAGAGTACTTCCGTACTTACTTGATTTCTTCCTTTCTTTCT